TCTCTCTCTTCTTCTCTCCTCCTCTCTCTCTCTCTCTCTCTCTCTCTCTTGACCAGAATTCATCACCTCTTCACATGCACTACCTCTTCAAGCTCTACACCCCTAATCCAATGGACCCATCTGTCAAGACGTGTCCCTCTCTATCTCTAACTTCATGAACACAATTGTCTCACTTCACAGTGACTGGACTCTTTCTCTTTTCTCAAAAGGCACAACAGCGACAAAAATCTACATACCTATCTCAACCTCGCTTGCTAGCGGTTGGGGAACTCTATGGCGATCTTCAAAAGGCCAAACAAGCCTTAAAAATGGCTAAAATCTTCGATGAAAAAATATTCACTAAATTGCAGGCAACTCTATGGTTGTGAAGGTTGGTGATATCCTTGATAGAGGAGGAATAGAGTTCAAGCTCCTTTATTTTTTAAAAAAACTCAAGCAAGACGTAGAGAAATCAAATGGGAAGCTCTAAATTTTACAAGGAAACCATAAAAGCCTGAATATACAAGGAGATTTCAGGTATGTTATAAAAGTTGGCCTTGACGAATTCAAGAATTGGGGTGAGTGGTTTTCTATAGGAATTCAAATGAAAAACCTTTGTAAAGATTTGGAAAAGCAAAGTAACATTTTTAATAGAGTACCAAAAAGTTACCCATATGGAATTAGGGCTAGAATAACTGCTTTGAGTCATGGAGGCTCAATTTCTACTCGTTTTTTAGCTGATAACCCTACTATTTTAATGGTGGGTGGCTTTGTTTTTGTTCATGGTGGGATCCTCCCTAAGGATGGAGTTTCGGGAACATAGGGATCGTGAGCCTAAAATTCTGGGAGCGGGGATCTAATTTTTTCAAGACCGCGCTCTGTGGGACAATGGGAGCAATATCCGTGAGGTAGCGTTAGCGAGCTCTGTTGTGAATGGGATTGAGAAGAAGCGAGTTCCCAAAAAGTTGGGAACGGGTTCTGGACAAGATTCCAGCAAAAGAGGGCCGGAGCTGGGATTCCGGAGCAAAAGCGCCACCCTAGTTGGGCCTTCATGGTAACTATGGTTCAAACTGCTTGTTGGGTCCCAAACAGGGCATACTTGGGATCAAACCCAAGCTAACTAAGTGAAGAGGCACACGAGCGGATAGCTAACCAAGAAGCTATTTTTCATTTGACAAAAAATAAGAAAAAAGAAAATAAAAATAATATATATATATATATATATATATATATATGTCCATTGGATGTACAAGGTGGTCACAATTAATTGTGACCATTGGATGTAAAATTAGATGGATACATTTATTCCATTGACCAAGCTCAACTTAAAAAAAAAATTTCACATTAGATGGCTACAAGTACTTGTGACCTCCTTATATCAAAGGTAGACGGTCTCATTGTATACTTCAAAAAGCCTATGGGTGAAAATGAACAGTATTTTCGCCCATAGGCTTGGCGCCGTCCAAATGTTTTGGAGGGTGTGGATTAAAGACCATCAGGGATATAACATGTCCGTGATGAGATTTTTTTTCACATAAAATTGACGCAAAAAATATACGGGGACCACCATGGCTTCTGTAGGTCCAAAGCAGTTTTTAGGCAAAACCATCATGGATATAGCATGTCGAGGACAAGGGCAAATTACTGTAACAAATAACTCGCATGTATGTGACAGGGGCAAAATACACACACACTAAGTTTTTGCTTTTTTTTTTTTAAAAAAAAATGAGGTTGGACCACCCGCCCAAGTAACTTGCTTCGTCCAAGGGTTGACTACCTTGGCCGAGACGAGTCCCGATAACTTGTTAAGGATCATCGTAGTTTAGGCACCGTATTTATTTTAACGACTTAACCTGGGCTTCACGGCATTTGAGATTTTCAAAAAATTGTGCTTTGTGGCACATGGATGTCCTGTTATCACACCTCGCACACCAATTCCGAATTTTGTATCTTATTTATGATTTAGAGCATAGCTAGCTTTGCTAATCTATAAGTAAGATATTGTGAAGTGGGTTGGGCCTAGGCAGATCTGGCCCTACCTTTTTAAGTTATCAAGCCTTAAATTCAGGCCTGGCCCAATCCGGCTGACAGTCCTAATGAAGGGGATGAGCCCAATCCATATCAGAACGGGCCCTCAAGGCGGGTCGAACCACTTTGGCCAATTGCATGATTGTTAAATTAATAAAATCACAATAACAAGGACATGTTAGACGTTAGTACTATGGAGCACTCCACTGGTCAAGTAAATGGGACTTGACATCTCAGCCAAAGAGGATGAACCCCACCCATGTCGGAGCGGGCCCCCAGGCGGGTCGAACCAGTTTGCCCAATTGCATGATTGTTAAATTGATAAATCATAACAAGGACATTTCAAACACTAGTACTATGGCCCACTCCACTGGTTAGTACTCGGCCCATGTAGTCTAGCCGCTCGAGACCTGCTGGGCAGGGCTGGCCCATTTGCACCCTCAGTCACATAAGTGAACACTTGGTCAAAAAGTCAAATGGATCATAACTCAAACTCAAAATCGCTAATCTATCTCAGATCACTAGTCCAATTCCCTCCTAAAATCAAGAATCGGTCCTGATCTATCCAGTTTACCTAATTCCCCATCTTTAATGTACTTTTGTATTATTGAAATTCTACATCATAAAATACATATTTCCTATGGAATGATGCAATTTTTTTTCTATTTTTTTTCTTTTCTTTTTTCCTGGATTGCCAATTTGGTTGACCCATATCAGTTCAGTGGATCGCCAATCCGCCCTGACAATCCGTGTTTTTAAACAGTGATCACAATTATCCTAGTGTTAGGAAATGTAGTTAACCAGTACAAGGTTTAGTCCGCAAAGAACTCACTCATGGCATCGTTATATAGTTTGCCTATGTGGCCGTTCAGGCCTCATGGACATGCGAATTTAAAATGAAATGATCATATGAAATGCTTTTAAAAAATCTCATGATAAAGGCATGATATGTATGATATAGGAAAGGGGTTGGGTCATGGAGCCCATATTTAGTTACCATATTGGGGTTTTCTATCCTGTTAACACCACCTATTGACATCTTCAAAAATTGCTAACTCCCTAGTCTATATGCAATTGACACACAAAAAAAAAGGGTATGTATGATATATTTGAAATTTGCTGTGATTCTATCATATGCCACCACCATCCGTGTAGTCCGAAAATTCGAAATGTCATAAAGGATATTAGGTTTAATTCGGAACAAGAAACCAGTAAATGAACAAGAATCCTGTTTAGAGGTTGGTATAAGAAAGGTGATGATCTTAAACTTTTCTTTAACCAGTCTCAAATCCAGGTATAAGAGCTAAGTTGTATTAAGTAAACAATCAACGTAAAACTTTACCAAAATTTTCCATGAATCCAAAACATATCCTCTTTAGAGGTCTTGTGCAAGGTGTGTATAGAGTCCACAACAACTCCCTCCCATAATGCATTTGGACAATTGGTTATGCGAATTGCTTTAATTGTGCCACAATATTTATTCTCTTTCTTGCATAGTTCCATTCATTCAGCATTTTCCTCAAATATTTTTCTCAAGCATTCTTTCAATTGCAGCCACTACATGTTGGGTTCACTTCAGACAGAGGAGGGAACACCATAGATGTCCACTGGTACACGAGGAAAACAGTTCTCCATCATGTAAGCTTTAAAACTACTATTTTTCATTCATATCGAACTAATGCTGAATTAGTTAACTATACTTGTGGCAGTGAGGGTATCTACTGTGAAGAAACTTGGAATCACTTCCATATTATCTCAAATATCAAAATGAGGGCTTTGACCAAACTTGGCCAGCACTGGCAAAGCTCGTTGGCTACACATGCTCGTGTAGCCAACGGGCAAAGCCCCGATTGATGTGGTGATGCCTAAATTTGTACAAATTGGCTAAACCGCGATTGATGCAAAGATGCCTAAATATGTACAAATTCACCAAGCTACCAATCATATACAGAGAATCATGAACAAATCTAAAATTGGTGTATATTCAAAACACTACATTACCCAAGATTAAATAATCTATGGGCATACAAAATATTGTTTAGAAAAATTTATTAGTTTGGATTCCCACAAAACCGATGTGATCTAATCATTAGCCTCCTAGATTGGGCAAGAGGAGAATTGAAGTGCTCATAATTTAGACTTAAGCCCTGGACATTACCAGAATCATGTTGGAAGGCGTAGAATGGTTCTAATTATCAAACCATCAATCCATTTCCCATGTGTCTTTTCTTGCAACCTCATTTCAAATGGTAAAATTGTTGGTATTCATCTGTTAGACATACATCAACTCATATTACATATGGTTTGGCGAACCAGTTTATGCCGGCCTACGTTACATATGGTTTGGCGAACCAGTTTATGCCGACGTACGTTACATATGGTTTGGCAAACCGATTTACCCCGGAAAAATTGATTAACAGGTATGGGATGATAGTATTATTGATACTGCACTGGAGAGAATTTACGATTCCAATGTCGACAGTTTGATCGAAGCCATCCAACAGAATATTACGGTACCAAACTGACAGCTGCTCTCTCTCACACACACACATAACATGCATGGATGCAAGCCCTCGTATTTGATCGGTGCGTTTGCGACATCCATGCAAAATATATTAGTGTTTTCCACTCATGCACTTTTTTGTGTGTAACAGGGAGAATGGGCAGATGAAGTTAAGAGCTGGGAAAAATGCAGTTCAAATCAAGATGCATGCCCAGATCCGTAAGTTCCTCAAAACCCATGTGACTTGTTTTTTATATGTTTCATCCACCCCATTTAGTTCATCCTTAAAAGATTATAAGCCTAGGAGTACATGAAAGTTATTCTGAATGTCGTCTAACAAAAGTATGATAATTACTTTTAACAAGATCACAGAAGGAACCCAGCCTTTTACAAAATTGCAGAAAAAGCCCTTCCATTAAGTGCTAAAATTTAACATTTGATTTACATGCTCACTACAAAATTACTCATTCCTGCCACAATTCAAGAGTAAAATAGATTTATTTTTGTTAATTTTCTGTCGTTAGTTCGGGACGGATCATTTTCATGCTGTGTCTAGTTGGCCATTTTGTGTTGGTGTTTTTGCCATTATCCCCAAAATCATTGAAGAAAAAATATAAGTATGGATCTGTGCGCTTAACCATCCAGAAAAAAGATATTTAGTGCATAGCAGTGAGGAGATCAGAGGAAAATCACCAATTAACATCCTTTCATTCCTAAAAAAGAAAAGAAGAAGTGCTACAAAAGGCAACATCTTTTGAATCCTTCGAAAATGCAGTTCTTATCTATCTCCAAATGGATTGAAATACCTTCTGATTGAAGTTCCATATCTAGAAAAGTAGGCGCATTATAGGCTTGAAGTGATTGTGGGTTGTGCTTGAATTTGCAGATATGCAACCGAAGGGGTTCATGCAGCCTGTGACTCCGCATACAAAAATGTCACTGATGGTTCAGTATTACGAGGTAAATTGAGAAGCTATAAGCCATTACCATGCCTCCAGTGTCTATCTAATTTTGCACTTTTTATTTTCATATCTATTTAATGGTTACATAAAATTGCAGATGAATACTTTCTATCTCGCTTGCCTGTTGTCTACCTGAGGTTGGCACAAGGAGGTGTACGGTTAGCAGCAACCCTCAACCGAGTCTTAGGTTGAGATCAAATATTTGAGTCGCATATACCATTTACTACTTTCTTTTTAATAGTTGGTAGAATTCATGGTATTAATAGACAAACATTACTTTATGTAAACATTAATATGGGCACAAGCTGAAATGCTTCAAAGCATTTCGAAATGCTACATATAGTAAGGCTGGCATTTAATCCAAAAGGAGAAATAAATTGAACATGTAAATCAATCGAGCATGGCAGAGTTATCAGTACCATAACCAAGCAAAGTCAACAACAAAGTAGAACACTTAATTTCTTTATTTCATATCAATGCTCATGTTGAAGGAACAATAGTCTTTCATAAACATCATATATAAGATTTACACAATTTTTTATTTGAAGCAAACAACTTTTTATTTGAAGAAAATGACCATAAGGCACTTATTTCATAACACGCCTCCCATCAGAGAAACAATGTCATATTTACAAGAGATTTACAAACCTTAATATATTAACTTGCCCCACTTGTTTGTTTTGGTTTCTTCACAACCAAAACAGGGCATTTAGCATGGTGTACACAGTAATTGCTCACACTCCCCAAGAAAGCCCTGATTCATAAAATGCCACAAATCAGAAATCAATAACATAAAGAACATTTTCAGGATCATGAAAGTCAATGCAGGTTTAATTGAATAAAAATTTAACCATAAAGACTAAAACAACATTGTATGATTGTTGTACTAAACTATCAGGTTGATAGTAAATTCATGACCTAACCTTTTGAACAATTATGTTATGGAGACTTGTTTCTAGGGTAAAATGTTTCTGAAAAGTTTTCATTTTTTTTCACCCTTGTATGTATTTGGAATCATCTGCGAACATTTCTATGGAAGGTCTAACAAGGAACCTAGTGTATCATCTGGGGCCATGGCCATATGAAAATTCCCTACACATCATGACATTTCATTTGGTGAATAGTCTTTTTTGGATTGTCATTCTTGCTAAAGATTAATGTTTAAGAATATAGAAATAAATATCTGGTTGATATAGAATTATAATTATATTCAACTCCAGATTCTCTCCCAGTTGACTGTCTAGAAAGCCTAAGATGTCCCAAATATGGTAATGACAAGCTACATTTTGTTCACAAGGTAATCATGTGGACTTTCAGTAACAACTTTGGTTAACAGCCAAGCAAATCTGGTCTTCATAGAGAATATAGGAAGAGAAGGAAGTCCACAAGCTATCTCTCACAAATGGAATGAGAGTGGGCCTCAATGTGCGTGGTACGGTCGGTGACAAGCTGGTAACAGTGATAGTCTCCAAGCAGATTAGGGGATCGAATAAAAACACTATTCAGTAATATGCAAAGCCAGAGTATCTCGTAAGAGGCAAAGGACATGGTTTTCATACTCTGCTTCAAGACTGGATTTGGAGAAAATATCATAATACCAAAAAATAATGGATTTTTCAAAAAAACACAATATCCTAAGGTGGATGTATAAGCAACTAGAGAAGCATGACAATCCTGCCAATTTGAAAAGACTCATCATCTAAAAAAACTCGGCTCTAAGATCCAATTAGATTAGGAAACCTACAAAGAATTTCTCATTAATCAGAATCAGGGATTACTCACATATATATACGACAGACTAGGCTGTAAATTTGTGCTTTGCCTACAGACTCAGCCTTGTTTCAAGCTGAGTTTACTGGTTAGAGTCGGTCAAGTTGTTGAATCACGGTTAAATAAACTCACTTAGTTACTATGCAACATAGACTTGAGTGCACCCTCAATTGACTCTTAGAGTCCTTAAAAAATGGTACAGATAGAACACCACATACCCAAGTATGTATGATAATAAGAATATCCAACACCTCAACAGGATAGTGTGTTATTATATAAAATATTTGCTTAATTCTATTGTATTCTTTAGATGTAGGCTACATTATCCTTGTATTTGTAAAGGCCCCTACTCATTTGGACCGAAGTCCTTGCATACAAACTCTATAATCTTCATTGTTCTCTTAATGAGAATGATTCCCCCACATAAATCTATAACTTTTTTTATTTTTAGTTTTAGAAAAGAACACATGCATAGGAGTTTATATAAAAGGAAGATCGCCTTTAGACACATGGCCACATCGGAGCTCTCTCTCTCTCTCACACACACACACACGAACAAAAAAAAAAAAAAAAACATATAAGAGGACAATACATACAAGTGGCACACATGGCCAATTGGGGCAAGCACAGACTTCAGGATCCATCTTAAATCCTGGAAAGATACTTTTTCGATATCCCATTTAAGAATTTTTTCTAATGCACTTAAATCTTAGCTTCAGTTTGCTCTATCAATAATATAATGACATGCAGCTGGCTACTTTGAGACAATAGCTTAATGTGTCTATTTTGACTGGTGCTCAAATTGTCTATCGGAAGCTACAAATCCTTTGCGTGCATAAAGATCTAGAAGTGTTTCCTCTACAACCAAATACAGTATGCCCACAAAAAATAGGAAACCAAAAAATAAATCAGTTTCATTGATATAGATGAAAAAAAACTACTCCCAAGGACAACACTAACTGTATCTAAAAACAATGCATCTCACCTTTGTAAAGCTCCTCGGCCATGGCTACCCAAAACTAGCAGTTCAATTTGATATTTCTCAACAGCTTCACATATGGCGTCTTTAGGCTCTCCTCTTACAGTGATTATCTCAGCAGTGATCTAATACATCAAAGAAATTCATAACTCTCCAATATAGTTTTAAACTGGCAAATCGTCTCTGAGCAAAGGGGTAAATCACATACAGTATATTTTAGCATATATATAACCAAGATACTTTGCTACTCTAGAAGTAATGACAGCAAAGTCAAATCACGTATTTTATTCGACACCATCTTTTTTACGGAAGCATGAATATCACAGATGGATTGCAGACTAACACCATTTTGAGAATCCTTTATTACATATTTACATGATAAATCATTACATGGATTCAATTTTTTTTCTTTAAGGGATACTTCTCAGGGAAGCCCTGTCTAAGTTACAACAACCAAGCTTTTTACTAGCCTATCTATTTTATTTTTTTCAGGGAAAGATTGGAACTATCCAACTTTATTGACAAAAGAGAAGCACTATTTGTTGAAGTCATGAACAACAGTCCCATCTCTCAGCAACATCTCCACAAAATGAATTAATAACTCAAGGGAAGAACTCCCTTTATAGGCATGCAAAAGCTGGGAACGCTTTGTGAATTCGGTTCATTTTCATCGTAGTCTTTCCTCAGTTCTATTCTTTTCTTTCTTACATTTCAGTCAAAACTCGAGAGAGCATGATAGGTCAAACATTTTCAGAGCAAATGACCCATGCAAATGATCCAAGCTATCTTTCTCATCAATCCAAAATGGCAAAGAAAAGAACACTAAGCTCACGTCCATCTTGATTTTGAGGCAAATGCTCTCCATTAAAGTGAACTTACACTCCTCTTAGTGCAGATCTCCTTGATTTTATCAACAAGCACCTTTGTAATCTTCCTCTGCTGATCTTGAAGAGCCTCAATCAATTGAGGGGCTACACACAATGAAACAATTCAACTTACAAGCGATCCTAAATTAACAAAGATTCAGATTTATCAAGAAACAACAGCACTGAAACAAATAAATTTTCACACTCTGATCGTATTGAAACAGAAGTGGTACAGAATAGAGCATCATCTAGCGAAGCATGAAGCATGTTTCGAGTACGACTCATGGAAACATGATGAATTAGGCTTCAGAGAGAGTAGCTAAAATGAAAATCTATTTACAACAGATGCAAAATCATTAATTAGGCTCGCCGAATAGCGGCTACAGAGACATTAGAGCAATCCACAGGTTCCAAAAAAACTGGTAAAAAAACATACACAATTCAAACGAGTAAAGCCTGAATGTTTGACAAAAATTTGTGATAGCCCACAAATTCAGTCACAGCGAGAGAGAGAGAGAGAGAGAGAGAGAGAGAGAGAGAGAGAGAGAGAGAGAGAGAGAGAGAGAGAGAGAGAGAGAGAGAGAGAGAGAGAGAGAGAGAGAGAGAGAGAGAGAGAGAGAGAGAGAGAGAGTAAGAAACGAGAAGAACGTAACGTAGTAGAGAGAGAGTAGAAGTAAGTAAGTAACGTAAGTAAG